CCTGGCGGTGCGTGCTGCGCGCCATGGTGCCGCTGCCGTGCGGTGCCGGGCGTGTGCATGGTGCGTGCTGCCATGCAGTGCGTGTGGTGCGCGCTGCTGCCTGGCGGTGCGTGCTGCGCACTATCGACGGTGCATGCTGCTGTGCAGTGCTGCCAAGCGGTGCCCACTGCTGTGCGGCCTGCTGTGTGTGCTGCTGCCTATAACGGCGCCGCGGTGCCTTGCCGGATGGTGTGACCATAACAGCCCTAATGTAAGTATGGTAGGGTCAGGGAGGGTTTTGTATTTTCAAGTGTAGGGAGAGTTTGAATTCAAAAAATCAACCCACTATAGGTTTTAATTTGGGGAGGATTTAGAATTTACAAAACTCTCCCCATACCCACCCGTTTCCATGTAGATTTCAATATTTTTTAACACACCCCCCCCCCAAAAAAAAAAAGAGAAAAAGAATAGCAAATATAAGATTTAGGAGGCGTTTGTAAATGTGTGGTAGAAAAGAGCCAGAGGCCTTGTTACACAAACATAATTGACGCATTTTCCCTATGTGTGTGTGAGAGAGAGAGAGAGAGGAAGTACTATGAACCGCTTGTTTGTTGTCTGTTTTCGTTTTCAGGGTGGGTCTCACATATTACATCAGCAATAGCGATAGATGAGTAAAAGGTAAGCAAGACAGATTAAAGACAGAACCCTTTTCACTATCCAGATGGTAACTTGTTTGACTAGATTCTGGAAGCTTCTTTACATAGCTTATTAGCTAGCTTCGACAATAAGTCTCACAACACAAAGATAATTTCCAAAATTTAAAATCATCAAAGAGCAGAAGGCAAATGGATTATTGTATTTTGTGGCAGAAAGTTTTTGCTGGAACGACTGCCAAATGGAAAACTAGAAATGGTGACAATGAAGACTAATGACTACTTGAGCCCTAGTTGAGCTTTTGACTAAGCTTGGTTTTCACTAGAACAACCCAAAGAATCATGTGAAGAAAGCATTCATTCAAATGTTAACAGAAATAGTAGAACGAGGTCAAGCAACTTCTGGGGGCTGGCCGGGGTTTAGATATCTTCGTTTTCCAAGCCCAACCTTCATGACCGGGATATTTGAATTTGAAATGGATTTAC